CCAGTAGCAAACAGAGATGCTCCCTTCACATGCAGCTGTGCTTAGAGACACTGATAGGGACCAACATGAAGGACAATCACTGCCCTGTCCTCAGACCAGGGTAAGGGGGTGCACACTAGGCTGAGGTGGGTCCCCCCACAACAAAGCAGCAGTGCAGGTGGGAGGAGGAAGGTGCCCTGCCTTAGCCTGTGCCTGTGGACCACACCCTGGCTCAAACACCAGCTCTGGCAGTGCTCTGGGAGCAGGAGGAGCTGCTCTGGGGTTCCCAGGGACTCTTGCACACAGCAGCGATACACTGAGAGGCTGGCCGCCTGGGCCTATCCTGGTCTTGCCAGTACTGTCCACTCACTCTGGCCCTCTCTCCTGGTACAAGGGCAGCAAGCTGGCTCCCAGGTGACCAGAACAGGAAGAACGAACCCCAACTGGGCACCACCTGGCTGCAGATCTGCCTGTATCTGTCTTGTGCATCAGTAGTAAGGGGAGGGGAAGGGGAAGGGGCCCTGCAGACAACAGGAAAAAAACATCATACCCAGAGCTGTAGTTGGCTTCAGAGGGCGTTACTGAAACTGCACAGCACTTCCTATACCCTGGGACCAACATCAGTGAGATACCACAGCAACCAGCACAGTGCCAGCAGCTGCCACAGCTCAGAGCTTCCTCAAGCCTCTGCCCCAGATTAGGCCTCATGTCTGTGGCGGCTGAGAGTTGGGAGAGGGGGATGGTCAATGCCTCAAGGAACAACCCTTCAGTTGGATGGAGTGAAGCAGGGTGGGGATGGCAATCCACAGGTCACGGGCACTGCCTGGGCAAGTTGCTAGGAGCTCAGCTTTGACCCACCAGCTCTCTGGCTGTTCTGCTAGTGGGTCCCCCTCTCTTCCCTTTGGGAATCAGCTGACAAGAACCCAGGTGCTGCCTTCTCTTGTGAAGCACAAGAAAGATAGGGATGCCCACCCAGCAGGGAATATGGGTTTTCAGGAGCTCATCTACCTGCAGCCTGAAGAAGAGATGCCACATTAAACACATGGAGCCAGAGTTTGCCCCCCTCCAGATGCCCTGGCCCAGCCCAGCAGATGGGCAAGGAGATGCCTAATGAACATGTTTGGAGAGGTTCAGGTAGTACTATGAGGCCTCTGAAAATGAGGCCTTGTTCTCTAGATGCTGCTATAATACAGAGAGCAACAAGATGGTGCTTTGAAGAGTGGTATGACTGGGCCAGGGCCTGCTGTGGGCAGGGCTGACTTATTTCATATGTATGGCATATTTGGCCACTTTCCATTTTCTGTGCTAGATGTGCCCCAGAAAAGGAGCTGGTTAGGTATGAGTGAGAAGGAAAAAACAGCCTGTGCCACCCTCGCCCAGGCACTGCAGTTTCAAGATTAATCAATGGGGTGTGGAAAAAGCCTGGCATCCTGTTTTCAACCACATGGCAAGATGACACCTTTGGTGGTATTGGGGGGTGATGCATCAGCCCTGAGACTGTTCACATGTATCCACATAGGACTGAGGCAGGAGACTGGGGAAAGGCTGTGTGACAGCTCCTGCAGAGCTTCTTCCCAGGACTCATTCCAGTCTGACACAAAGCCACCATTTCCACCCCCCTCCTCTGCACCCCTCAATGGAATTTGGAAGGAAACATCTTCATTTTGCCTGAAAATCCTCCAGTTCCTTGCAGGGAATTTCCAGTTATTCAAACAGTACGGTTTGGATCTGGAATCAACACTGCTCCTTGCACCTCTCAGGTTGGTTTGCTCTACACACAAAAAACACATGCCATTTTGGTACAACTAAAAGAACTAAAAGCTCTGTTTTAAACCAGAGCAATGCCCATCCTTTCTCATCTCATCTCTAAATACCCTTTCAAAAATGTCCCATGGAAATATAGAACTCAAGGTTAGCTGAGATCAAAATCCTGCAAGTCCTGTCAATGCACCAAGTCCACATGGGTGGCTGCTCTCAGCAGTCACTCCTCAGCTAGCAAACTCCCTTATAAGAGCCCAAGTCAGGAAATCTTTTGGAAACACTGTTAGACCTTCCTATTTGGGCAAGCAGTTAGCAAACAAAGCTAGGCTGGGTGTAGGGCTTTCTGTTTTATGTTGATACTCCAGGTGCTTTCAACCTGTTTTTATTCCCTTGTACATTCTCCTGTTTTATAAGTTATTTATGTTTATTTATCTATCTATTCGTTATTTATTTATATATCTATTATTATAAATATGATGCATAGAACTGACATTGTCACACAGAGTCATATTTTCTGGAAATTGTTTCACACAATGAATTTCATCTAGCTGCAGCAGCTGCCCAACCATCACCTTCTCCCTGCTGTGGTGAGGTGTAGGATGGAGAGATGCCCTGTCACTCTGGCAGAAGGGTGAAGCCCATTTGGAGTAATTATGCTCCAGAATAAAGCAGTTCCTAGGTCCTCACGTGACCCCCGTACAGCAGGGGGGAACAATCCTTTCTCAGCTTTACTAGTGTAGAATAGTACATAGTGGGACTCTGGAGCTCTGGGTCCTATTCCCAGCTCTGCCACTAACTGTCTGACCTTGGACAAGACTCTGTTTGCCCAAGATCAGACAGCCCTATTCCATGCCTCAGTTTGCCCACCTATAAATGGGGGAAAAGGGGAGCTTATTTCTTTGTAAAGGGCTTTGAAACCTGGTGATAAAAAGTACCATGTTACCTGGGTAAACAAGGTTCTTTGGGTAAATGTGATATCTTTTATTAGACAAACTAAATAGTTGGAAAAATGGTTCTTTGCAAGGTTTTGGGCAAAAACACCCTTCTTCAGACACAGGGAGAGTCATCTGGTGTTTTGTGTTCTCCTGGATGGAATGGAAGCCAATATGCAAAATGCAGGTCTGTGAAAATACAAATGTGTGGGAGGGAGGATCAGAGGAAATGGGAGATAATAGGTGTGAGACAGGTAAGTGAGGGGGAGGAGGAGAAGGGACTATTGACCTGGTGATAGAATATAGTTGGTAAATGTAGAGAGGTTACCTGGGGTTATCAGATGTCAGGCAAGTTATAAAGTGTCATAAACCCAATGTCTATATTTTGCCCACGATTTTTTGTGTCCGGTAGATTTATGAAGTGAAGTTCGTAGGCTCATCTACAAAAGGTGCTTGTAAATTCTCTTTGAGGATTAGAACTGAGAGACTGGAGAGAGACCAGTTGTCTTGTGAGAAGTGTGCACCCACAGGTAATTGGGTATGTTTATCTTTGATAGATGTTTGGTGTGCATTCGTTCTGGTACACAGTTGTTCTTTGGTTTCTCCCAGATATTTTCCATCAGGACACTTAGCATACTGGATGAGATATATTACATTTCTGGAGATGCAGGTGTAAGATCCAGGAATGGTGATGGTTCTGTTTTGACCCAAAATACACCAAACAAATCCAGACCATGCTGGGACAAGAAATGTAAAACCTGCCAACATATCCCCACCACTCCCACTATAGCTACATTTTACCAGCTACGTTCTATCACCAGGTCAACATTCTCCACACCTATGGGCTCCCATTCCCTCTGATCCTCACTGCCACACATTTGCATTTTCACAGACCTGCATTTTGCATATTGGCTTCTACTCCATCCAGGAGAACACAAAACAAAAGTAGACCCTCCCTATACCCGAAGAAGGGTGTTTGTGCCCCAAATCTTGCAAAAAAAACCTAAACAATTTTCCAACTATTTAGTTGGTCTAATAAAAGATATCACATTTACCCAAAGAACTTTGTCTGCCTATGTCCTTACACCAACACAGCTACAATGAACACCCCTGAAACATGAAAGATATTACCTGGGTATTGTTTATTACCATCATTATCCAGAAACTCTGCTGCTCTGAGAAGATGAAGATCAGACTATGACTATCTGTTGAAGCCTATAAAAGGACAAGACAATAGCAAAATGCAGCAGGCTCATTGCAGACAAACTGCACATACCCAACTCAGGAAGTCAAGCCACTCCTCAAGAAAGGGTTCCCCCTCCTCCAAATAAGATAACACTGCCTGTTATGCACTCAACATCAGTGAGCCCCTCTCAGGCAGCAGGGTACTTAGAGGCAGATCATAGTTGAGATGAGATCTCCCACTGATTTCCTGACCCAGAATCAGCACTGGTGCCTGCCCTTATCAAATCCCCCTGCAAGAGATATAGCAGCAGTGAAAGCGTTACCATGTGGTGCCACTCAAACTTCCTGAAGCACTAAAGAGATCATGGTTGTCTTCCAAAGAACCCCAGTATCTGGATCCTGCTACAGTCCAGTTTGCATCATGCAAGTCCTCTCCCCGGCCCTGCTGCCTGCCCCTCTTTCTGAAGAAGTGATGGGAGCAGCAACTCTGTGACCACAGTAAGAAGCAGTGTTGAAAGTGGTGTGTAAAGGGGTTTGTGTCCCCCTCTGCATCTTTATGAGGGAGAAAGAAAGGGACCTAGAAAGTTTATCCCCGTATTGAGGAATTGCCTGGAAGGCTCTACAGGGCTGGAAGGCTGTGGAGTGTGCTTAGCTGAGAGTGGAAAGGGTTGTCTTGGGCACTGAAACCCTCAAGTCCTCAATTCAGAGCTGGGACAGCAGCTGGTCCAGATCATCTTTCAAGCCAGCCAAGAGCTGGCCCATGACATATTTTTAAAAAGGGAGAATGCTCCTCCACCCACACTTCAGAAACGGCTAGGTGGGCAGGAGTGAAAAAGCTGAAGTTGTATACAGATAAATCAGCAGCACACAGCCCAGAGAAGGATTTCCTCTTTCTCTAAAACATCGTTTGAGAAAGAGAAGCAAAGAGGCTTCTTATTTCAGCTCCTGTTCTCTTGCTGTCAATCCATCCTGCTGCCGCTCAGACTCAGAGCTGGCATCTAAGTTAGTGGAAATATGCTGGGGGTTGAGGGAAGTACTGGGGGTTGGAGGAGGTGCTGGGAGAACAAAGACAAACTCTTCAAAACAGCAGCTAAAAGAAGGGAGAAGAAAGTTTGTGGGAGGGGGAAAAGAAGGTGAAACCACAAAAAAGCAGAAGCTATAAAGTGACCATAGTCACTGCTCAGAGTGTCGCCTGGGGCTGGGTTCTGCAGCTCTGCTGAGCCGGCAAGGGGGAAAAGAAGGAATAACCATCCAGGATGCACTGCTGAACACAAGGTAGGTCTTGAGTTCATGCCAGTGCTTGTTATCAAGCAATGCTAGAGTCACAGCTGAAACACTGCAGTCAAACAAACAGATGTCAGGGCTTTGGAGACTCAGGGGGTTAGAGGCTGTCTTCCTTGTAAAGTTATGGTAGATCCTGTTGACCTGATAGGGTCTCTCCCCTGCTGGGCTCATGCTGGCAGGCTGCCAGTGCCTAGCACTACATTAAATGAGATCACCCTGTAGTGCAATTTTAATAGAAGAGAATGCACATTGCAGCTTAGCGGTGACATTTTCTAATTGGACCTTTTAAAAAGAAAGTTTTATTTGTGGTTTTTTATTTCAATCTTAGGATAAAAAGACAAAATGAGAAGCAGGAATTGGAAACACCAGCATTTGGCTTTTGAGATAAGCAATCCTTATTGTCTAAGGACTAGCAGGGTCTTGGACAGGGATGAGATGACATGTCTCCATCCCTGCTTTTGGGAAGCTTGGCCAGCATGGGCTAAGCTTCCAAGCATGATTTCAATTTGTTGGTCCAACTTCTGAGCAGCTAAAGCAGACACCTACTCAGCCAGGATCAGGGAGTTGTGACTTAAGGATCTGACCCAGTGACAGAGCTCCCAGCTCTCACCTCCTCAGATTGTAAGCTTTGCTGACCCCAGTTCCAGGTAGCACAATGAACAGTGCTAACTCGGAATGAGAAAGGAAGGGCTGGGAGATGGAAAGTGATGGTAGCAGCTTCTCTCCCAAGCTAGGGAGACAATCCAAAGCTGTCCTAGTGGCCTTTAAAAGATGTGTTCCATATCAATCAGAAAGGATGAAAAAGCAAACATCTGAAAGGGGCTCTAAGTGACTTACATAGGACTTGGAAGGAGCCTCCTGGGGCATTGAGTCAAGTGCCTCCAATCTGAATCGCAATTTAGTCACTTAGAACTAAGTTACTTAAGGATTTTTTAAACTCATTTACCCTGCAAAGCTTGATTTCCCAGGATATTCAGCACCTTGGGTGCATATTGGCTGCTGAAAACCTGCCCTTGATTGTTGGTGCTTGAGCACTTAGAAAATGGGCTATGAGCCCTTTTGAAAAATCTGGTCCTCACATGGGCAAAGTTTAAACTAATTTAACATGCCAGAAGCTGCAGATGGGAAGAGATTTAGCAAAACCTAGGGAACATTTAAGAATAAGTGTTCAGCACAAGTACAGAAACCCACTCAGACATTGCCAAGGAATAGAAGCCCAGCCACTTCCTGCTGCCACCTTTATTTTTATTCCAGATCCCATTGCATTTTATCGCTGTAATTCCAGGAGGCTGGACATGTAGGTGTATTTTATGGAATGAACTCTTAGAGGATAGGATGGGAGACCATGGGGCTTTCTGTACAGTTAAGCAAATCACAGATGTGCTTGGCAAATTCTGAATTCTAAGTGCTTGTCTAGACAGGCAGCAAGTGCTTTCAGCACGGCGGAAGAGTGAAATGCCAAATGTGAAGGGAAATGAGCTATACTGGTATGAGGCCTTTTTCTATTAGTACAACTACATCCTCACTAGGCATGGTTCTGGCCAGGGTGGATAAAAATTAACAATTTATTTTTAAATTTAAAAAGTTGTTTTTTTTTTTATTTAAACCATGTTTTATTTAATCATACATTTTTATTCTTTTTGTTAAGATGCTTTAATAAAATAAACATATAAAGAATGTTTATACTCTATAGATTAGTTTACTCTATAGATTAGTAAAGATTAAAGAAAACCGCTCTACCCAGTGGGACTCGGTGCTCAGTTGGACTATATTAGGGGTCCAATCTTATGGGGTTCCTAGAGGCTCCTCTATAGATTAGTAAAGATTAAAGAAAACCGCTCTACCCAGTGGGACTCGGTGCTCAGTTTACTTTAGAAGATCCCATTAAGCATCCCTGTGATGCTTAGTTTCAGCTCTCAAACTGTGGATTTGTGTCTCCGGAGATCAAAGGCAGACAAGGTTCTTTAGGTAGATATGATATCTTTTATTAGACCAACTAAATAGTTGGAAAAATTATTTGTTGCCAGCTTTTGGGCACAAACACCATTTTTCAGGCATAGGGAGAATGTGTTGTCTTCAGAGATAACATCCTTGTTAACAGCAGTATAGGGAGATGAGATAACTGACCTAATTACCCAGCCAGCCCTATGATGTCTGCAAGTTTGTGTATACAGTGTCAAGCCCTTGCCTTTCTGTAAAAGTGCAAAGTTTCAAGAAGTTAAATGAATACAGGATTGTTGGGAGTGAAGTAAATCTGGGAAAGGAGGAAGAGTCTGGGATAAATGCAAGGAGGGAAGGGCAGTAGAAACAGAAGACAAACCGTTTCTCTTCCTCTGAGAAATCCCCAGATATGTCTACATATTTCATGGAAAACAAAGTCTATTAAAGACACCTCACTAAGGCTGTGAAGTTAAGCGCTCAGAGGCTGGGAATGCTAGAATTATGTTTGCTATCAGGCTAAATTTGCTTCCCATTCTGCAGAAGCATAATGGAGCCAGTATTTAACTAGACCACTACATACCAGTGAGTCCAGAGGCCCTTGCCTCATTCACTGTGGTCATACACTGGTGGCTTGAAGCTCTAGAAAAGCAAGGAGCACTATGTTGAGCCCTGTTGGTGAAGGGCATAACAGCATAGCTAACTACCTCATTAGCCACTCAGTCATGAGAAGAAGCTATTGCCAAGCGACTCTGAGAGTGGGTTGATTTAGTGTAGTCATTCTAATAACCTGGTTTCCCCTTCTCTCCCCAAATAAAAGTTTCTTAATTTTAAAACCTTGGATTTATTGTTTGTGTGCACGGGCAGGGGGAGTGGGGAGGAGCGGCACTGCTTTCCACAAGCACAAAGACAATGTAGTTTCACTTCCCAGGTTTGTGAGTGGGAGGCAGAGACTTTTTCAGCAGAAACACTGAGATAATTATACCTGTCCCTTTGTACTGCTAACTCACAGAGTAAATAGTGATCACTGAATGAGCAGCTACTCAATGTTTTATCATAGAAAATGAAAGTTGGAAGGGACCTAAGGAGGTCATCTAGTCCAACCCTCTGCTCAAAGCAGGACCATCCCCAACTAGATCAGTCCAGCCAGGGTTTTGTCAAGCCAAGCATTAAAAACTTCCAAGGATGGAGATTCTACCACCTCTCTGGCCTATTCCAGTGCTTCATCACACTCCTAGTGAGAAAGTGTTTCCTAATATTCAACCTAAATTCCCTTGTTGCAACTTGAAACTGTTGCTCCTTGTTCTGTCATCTGCACCACTGAGAAAAGTCTAGCTCCATCTTTGGAACCCCCCTTCAGGTAGTTGAAGGCTGCTATCAAATCCCACCTCGGTCTTCTCTTCTGCAAACTAAATAACCCCAGTTCCCTCAGCCTCTCCTCAGAAGTCATATGCCCCAGCCCCCTAACCATTTTCGTTGCCCTTCACTGGACTCGCCCATTTGTCCACATCCTTTCTATATTGGGGGTCCAAAACTGAACACAGTACTCCAGATGTGGCCTTACCAGTGTTGAATAGAAGGGAATAATTACTTCCTTCAATCTGCTGGCAAAGCTTCTACTAATGCAGCCCAGTATGCAGTTAGCCTTCTTGGCATAAAAAGGGCACACTGTGCTTTCTCCCCATTGGTCAGCGTGGGGGACTTTATGCCACTCAGAACTTACTCTGGAGACAGAATTATGAATTTCCTCCCACTTTTCTACAGTCCTTATGAGATAAAAGTCTGAGGGCTTCACAGTACCTAATGAATTTTATAAGTCTCTCCTGGAGAGAAAGGAGTGGTATTATCCCCCATTTACAGATGGAGAACTGAGGCCCAGAGAGATTATAGTCAAACCCTAACATGCCTCACTATGGAGGGCTCAATTTCCAATGCCCATGATGTTTCAGAACACCTAGCACGTAATACTTGATCTGTTTAATGCATAGCACCCATCGACTCTGACTGCAGCTGCAAGTGCTCAGCACTACGGCAAGTCAGACCCTAGGCAAAGGCATCTCACCTTCGGCATCCAGAGGGTGAGGAATGCACAGTGAGTGACCACCTGAGAACAGTTTGGTTTTTCAGTGTCTTAACCAGCATCACACACTTTTTTCTATGTTCCTTTTGAGCAAACAGTCCGAGGGCTTCACAGTTATTGATTCATTTCACAAATCCCACCTTGAGCTGGAGTGGCATTGTTGTGGTCACAGGGCCTTCTTTTCTTTTCTCACTGTCCCTGCTGCACAAACATGTCAAGTGACCTACAGTTTCCTTCTGATTCACCCTCAAAGTACTGCCTGCTGTATGTACCGCTGTAGGCGAGGCAGGGGTCCTGTGGGAAAAACATTACAAAATGTAAAGACCATACCTCATTGCAGATGACAGGGGTGATGAATGAAGGCTGCATGAGAAAGCAGAATTCTGGCATTTCCAGCTTTTGAATGCTTGGTTTTGCAGCCCCAATAACAGCCTCCTAACATAGCGGTATTCATTTGTGATTTTCTGTGTTAAAGCAGCAAACTGATAATAGACAAATGACATTGGGTGGCATCATGTGTCCTCCCTAGGGTGCATATCATCAGAGTTGGCATCTAGAAGCCCAGCATACATATCTTTGCCATTTGAGCTAAAGTATTAACTGGTAGCAGTAATAGGTTGCCAGCTTGTTTGCAGGCCAGCACTGGAGGGAGGCTAGATGCATACCTTGCAAGTAGGTGTCATAGAGCATCTATACAAGTGCTTTGGGGGGAGGGGACACTTTAATTAGAGTGGCTCTGAGAGCTGCTCTAATTAAAGCACCCACAGCATCACATGTATTCAGTGTCCTGCACTTCAGAATGGTACAACAAGCTTTAGTCAAAACCCCCCCGCTGACACTTTGAAATGTGGGGATGCTGAATACACGTGACGCGGAGGCTGCTGGAGTGTGCTAATTAGCACGCTCCAGCAGACTCACAGCAGACTTGATTAATCAAGTTGGCTCCAACACATGCCAATTAGCACAGGTCGGATCAGAGCCGAGGTCTGTCGCGTGTATAGGTACCCATAGGCACTTGCAGACAGTCAAGGAACATTGTGACTCAAGGATCTTGGCTTCCCATCCAGCTCTGAAGAAAAGTGCTCTCTAGCTGGCACATACTCTTTTGCCCATGTTTCCTCACTCCCTTTCCCCCACTCTTCCCTACCTCATCTCAGTCCATTTTTTTTTCCATCATAATCAGGCTTCTCTCAACCAAGTTTGGAACTATCAAGGTCACAGGCCCGGGTACAAGGATCCTGGGTCTGTGCCCAGCTCCATCACTGATATGCACCATTACCTTAGATAAGATTTTTTCCACTCTTTATATTTGCATTTCCCCCTGTTGTGCATGCCAGCATCATGGGCTGCTCATCCAGCATGGGTAAAGTGCATAGAGATCACCACGTGTAAAGGGGTGTGCGAGTACTCATTGGGGGTGGCACAGGTGTGTTCCCAAAATCACTGCTTTACCTTGAAGGGTGATGAGTGTTGGGGCTGCTGTGTGCAGAATTAACCAAATATGAGGTTAAATAGTCTGACCTGAAGGTCAAAACAACAGCCAAGGTCAAAAGCTGCCTCTGACTCTGGGTGCTCTGCTTGAGACAACCAGCTCTGAAGTACAGAGGTTTTGCCTGCCTGCAGCACCTCCCCTCAACTCAGAAAGCCTTTGCAGCAGCACAACATCCCCCAAACCAGCTCTGCAGCTAGACCCCTGCTCAAAGGTCGCTTGCAATAATAGCATCAGCTACGGTGTGGTTTCTACCAGGTCACCCTTGGGGATTTTCATGGGGAGGCTGCAGGCAGGAAGGATCAGACCGGTGGGGGTGGGGGAGGGGGAGAGAGGAGAGGTGGTTTCCTGTGGCGCTCAGGCCAGGGCTGTTGTAGAAGAACCATGAGCTTTGAAGCTGGACAGAAACTGCACAGGAGACTCAGGTGCTGTAGACCATCCCCTGGGCCCAGCTACCAGGTCTATAGAGTGTACGGCTCAACCAGGCACTGCCACGTCCACTGTGTGCCACTCAACCCCCAAGCAACACAGCGATGAAACCAGCTCTATACATGGCAGTGTCTCTAGTGCTCAAACCTCCCGTCTCAGCTCCTAGACTGCAGCCCCCCTCTCCTTCCCCTGGGCATTGCCCAGTCTCTTCCTTTGAGTCTGAAGTGCCACCCAGCTCTAACCTCCCCCTCCCCCAAAGTCTCATTCCCCTAGGCAGGGCCCCCTCGAAGCAGCACCAGGCTGTGGCAGTGTGGTTGGCTGCCTTCAGAATGCACCAAAAGTCCTGCAAGCCCAGTTACAAACATCACTGCCCACATACAGCAGATAATGCACGGACTCCAGCTGCATTCATACCATTGGCACTTCTCTCCTTCCACCCTAACTTGGAAGCACAGTTGTTTTCCCAATAACCCACTGAATTTCCTCCCACCCCACTGAAATGCTTAGACACCTGCACCTTAAGACAAGGGCACTGTGGAAGGTACACTGTTATACTCTGGGGGTTAGTTTTGATCAACCATTTTCTCTATCCCAGGGGATATGAAGCCAAAAACCTGCACAAGAAGAAAAATCAACCAACCCAGCCCCAGCTTGGGCCACCAGGTGCTGTTAGTGATGCAATTTTCCAGTGTGCCTAGTCTGAAGACCTTAGTCACTGCAGGGCTATTTGCAACCACTCTCTGGAATTTAAAATCCTTCATTTACCACTTTGAGATGCCTGCCAAAGTCCCCACATCCATTGCACCACTGACACTCTTGGTCTGGGATTGGCCCTTCCATCAGACTCTGAACCTTAGTGGTGACATCTGTGCAGACCTCTACAGCATTCAGGGTTGCCAGCTGACTGATGACCGTGGGCTCTTTGACCGGGCAGATGTTGTCGTGTTCCATCACCAGGAGCTGCAGCGGGGCAGGGCCAATTTTCCCAAGGAAAGAAGTATTCCTTTACAAAAATGGGTGTGGGTGACCCTTGAGTCCCCCCCACACACTCGGGCAATGGCTGGCTGGAAGGATATCTTCAATTGGGTCATGACATACAGACAAGACTCTGACATCTTCATTCCATATGGGGAGCTCATGCTCCACTCATCAACTAGTGTGAACATCCCAGACAAGACTGGTTTGGTGTCCTGGGTCATTAGCAACTACCACCATAGCCAGAAAAGAGCACAGGTCTACAAAAATCTGTCCAGACACCTCCACGTGGACATATTTGGGAAGGCCAGTAAGAAGCCACTGTGTGAGACCTGCCTCTTAGCCACCACTTCCCAATACAAGTTCTACCTGGCCTTTGAGAACTCCATCCACCAGGACTACATCACTGAGAAGCTGTGGAGAAATGCCTTGCTAGCTGGTACAGTGCCCGTGGTGCTGGGGCCTCCCAGAGCCAACTATGAGAAGTTCATCCCTGCAGATTCCTTCATTCATGTTGAGGACTTTGGGTCCATGCAGGAGCTGGCCAGCTTTATTAAGAGCATGAATGCCAGCCGCTACAGACAGTTCTTTGAGTGGAAGAAGACGCACAAGGTGAAGCTCTATGAGGACTGGAGAGAACGGTTCTGTACCATCTGCACCAGGTACCACACCCTGCCAAAAGAAAAACTCTACCCTGACCTGGAAAACTGGTTCAGGACTTGAAAAGATGAGACTAGTCCAAAATGAGTCTCCTCAGCCACATGCAGTCTATATGGAGAAACCAGGCTGTCTGCAGGGGCAGAAAGTGATCAACTGATTTGCCTCGAATAGCTGGTCACCAGAACAGCAGGCTGGGATTTAGGAGTCCTTACCTCTACTCCTAGTCCTGTGACCTGCTCTAGCTGTATCCCTTCTCTCAACTACTGTAAAATGGGATCAAAATACTAACACACTCCACACAGGGGCATTGAGAGAGCTGAACTAGTTGTTACAAGGAAAATACATGGTGCTACACAATGGTGTGGTGTGATGCAGTTCTGTGGGCTGGAGTTCTGGGATGACCAGGAGAGGGCACTGGGCTGTGGTAGGACCGGGAGTAAGGCTTTGCTTCCCTTTGCACCGCAACAATAAGGGGGCACAAGAGTGATGTCCAGGGGATGGGGCAACTCTCCTTCCTCTGCACTGTTTTAGTTTTGATGCAAAGGACACCAGCAAGGACTGGTGGAAGAGACCTCAGCCCCTGACGACAATTAACACTCTACTGCTTTCAGATCCCCTTCTGGCACCAGCCAGATCCCAGCTGCAGAGGTGGGCTGGAGACAACTCCTGGCTGGAATCCTGCGATGGGGTTTGATGGCAAAGTTCCCTGCCTGGGATGCTTCAACCATTTCACTCTGCCTGGAAAGGCAGGCTATGCACTCTAGTCAGAGGGAAGCCTCGCTCTCCATTGTACTCTTCTCTCAGAAGGTACAGAGGGGCTCACAGAGGAGCTTGCCACAGTAGAGGGAGAGCTGCTCTGAGAGCAAGAACAGGAGGCCCAGTGAAGTTTCCTGCCTCACCGCATCTGTAGTCAGTGTCATTAGTAATTATGCGGATGTGGGGGCACTGTAAGAGCTGCACGGTGAGGGATGGAGGAAGGGACACAAGGTTCTCAAGAACAATCACAGCCTATTCAATACTGGAGTCACCTCATAGGAAGACGGTTGTGGTTTTTCACTTCTCATACAGCACTCACATTTCTGGCATGAAGACGTTGAGGCTGGTTTCATTCTGAAGAGGCTCCCTGAGCTTTGTAGCAGGCCACACTGCCAATGGCTGATCCGTGTCACAACGTCTCGGGAAGGAGTTGCTTTATGGGAAGCAACAGGAACACCAGATCCCAATGGCAGATCTCAACAGGGAGTGAGCAGCCCACCGGACAGTAGGGCTGAGGTTTGCAAAGCAGTTTGAGTCAGACACATGGTAGAATAAAAAAGTAGAGCAGGAAAGGACCCTGGGAGGCCATCTAGTTGATCCAACTCCCTGACTGAGGCAGGAACATCCCTATGCAAACCATCCTATACAAGTGTGCATGAACAGTCCTCTCTCTCAGCCACTGGACACGCTTCCCCAACACACCAAGAGCACCCTTACCTGCCACAGGTAAAGCAGGGGGTGAGAGCACAGTCAATGATTTGTTGCTTCAAGGACAGAAAGCAGCCTGTTAAAATACAATGTAGAGATCCAAGGAAGGGGGCCACAGCCACTGCTATAGAGGAAGAGCAAACCTTCCTCTGCCCTCTCCCTATGCCAATATGACTGTGGGTAAAATTCCTTCCCAATCTCAAGTGTGGTGATCAGTCTGACCCAGAGAAGAGTGAGACCCTTGAATATTGCTCATGGGAGGAGAGGGAGCAGTATTATCTCTATTTTACAGACAGACAATATCAAGACCTGGAGAGATTAAGATAGAGAAAAAAAATCCATAATTCAGAGGTTGAGAAGCCTTGGACTTGGTGTTTCAGAGCACCTAATGTTATACAGTACTTGCATGGCACCCACTGACTTCAGCTGCGAGTGCTCAGCACTTCTGCAAAAAAACCAAACCTCGGTGTCTCCGGGCACCCTGAAAATGAACCTGTGCACTGAGTGAACAGTTTTGTTGAAGCAATTTGCTCAGCACCAGTTAAAGACTATGATACAGGCTGGGGTAGAATTCAGTTCTCAGGGAAGGTATCAGACGTCATCCTTCATCTTTCTGTGGTCCTTGACTTACTCTCTACTTTCCAAGCTCAACAACAAATAGGCAGGCTATAGAAAAAAATCTCCTTCAGTACCCAAGCCGGATTCATCCATAAAGCATTAATCAATGAATGGGGCAGAGGTCCCATGAGAAACATAGCATGTGATCCTGGAATAAAAAGACTGTATCATAAAGCATAAACACAAGAGGCTTTGTTTAGGTTGCACAAATACTCTTAATGTGAGTATTTGCTAACTTTTGAGTACTGCATTTCTTTCTATGTGAGCATAAACAGATGGTTCAAGGCAGGAACAGTTCTAAACAGCAGAAAACAGGGTCTTAACTTGTAAAATATTGGACAATACAATCTGCAGGCACACCTAACACTTCATTTCTGGCCACATTAGATCCACTTAGCTTCTGTGTCCTTGGTTATGTATGGGTAAAATAGGAACATCACCTCTACCTCCCAAGAAGGGGCGTTCTGAGGCTGTATTCAATAATGCCTGTAAATACTCTTAGATGCTCAGATGCAAGTTACATAAACTATAAAAAGGAGCCCTTTTACCTCGTTCTTGGAAATCTCTTTTGTCAGTTGCCTGAACACTCCCCAGAGCACAGCCAACAGCACATTAGCACTGATTGTGATAATACAAATTAAGTAATATAGCCACATACAGGCCAAGGCCTTTGGGAGCTGACAAACATTAGGAAGAAGGTAGTAGTGACCATCACAAGAAATTCTTCCTCTTCTGCTGGGCTATGAATCACAGAGACAGCTTTATCTGAAAGCATGAGACATCTGTGTTATCACAGCCCATACCATGTGAGGATCACACTCCCTATCGGAACAGCTAACACCCATCACTGATCCTCCTCCGCTGTTATGGTCACCACCATTATCTGGGCGACTAAAAAGAGATTAGACTTTTCTGTTAAGCAAGCAGATAAGCTTTTCCTTGAAAGGCATTTGAGAAGGACAGATGCTTCCCATGCTACATACATTCACAACCAAACTTGTTGTGCTCACCTGGAATTTAAGCAAACTCAGCTTTGAACCAAACCAGTCAATACTAGACAACACGATGCATAACGGGTGGGTAGTTTGTTTATGAGAATCTGAACAGCGCTTGGAAATCACACATACAGCTTTAGCTCAAACACAGAAGCCAGGGTGAAAACCCTGGCTAAAAACAGAACCCAAGGCCGGTGTCATCATAACCATGGCAACATCTTGGCCAAAACTTCAGGTGTGGAACCGCACGCCCCCAGAGCTAAAAGCTCAAGCTCTTTAGCTGGGGCCATAATTGGTGCATCTCCCCCGCAAGCCACGCAGAAGGTGACAGTTAACACATTCTGCAGTGTGTTACACCTGCACCAAAGAGCCTGAATAGTACCGTATTCGTCTCTGTTGAAAGGAACTTTGTAGGCGAGCCACATGAAGACTCTGGTCTGTAAGACAGCTCAAAGGACCCTGAGTTTCCAGCCACAAGATCTCCCAAGCACACTAGACCCTGCATTAGACCCTGCCACTGTTGGCCACCAGACTACCTCCAACTTGCCTTTTACACTGGTACATCAAGTACCGTTCAACCCTCTCCCAGTTCCCCTCCATATGTGTTTCAGTGCTGGTGGAGCTTTCAACTGCTCTGCTCTTCCATTCAAGCTATTTCCTTTCAATTTATCTTTATTCCTGGAAGCACAATACCTAGGAAAACCCTGGGGTCAGAGGGATTAACTGCATAAGAGACCATAGTGATTCAGCTGTTCCCCAAGCTTGTGTCTGCAGCTAAACCACTTAGACTCAGGTCCTGTTATGACAACCAGTTTACTAAGGTGTGAATTAAGAGAAAGAATCAGCTCAGTTAGCAACCAGTGCAAACGTTGAGTTGAAAGCTTAGCAAGAATACAGGGAGTGGCCAACCTCAAGGTATCAGCATCCTTCCGAGCAGCTTTCTGCACATGCCATTTTTCCTACCTTTAAAATAAGCTTGCTGAATGCTAATAACACCACCCCCTTCTCTACTGCAGACACTCTCCAGAGCACTGCATAAAAATAATTGTGGGTAGAGACATTATTAAAACTTAGCAATGGGACTGGAGAGGTGACAAGGAAATGCCATCATGTCTGAGGCCATTATATTCTGCTGATCCATTTCCTTCCTCTTGCTCCAAACGATCACATACTTTTTTGCTTTGCTGCTTTCCTTGAAATCTTGTGCAATATTTCTGTGTATTGCTAAAACACCAGTTGGGTTCAAACCTAGATGTCAATCTTTTTTGCAAAGGAGAGGTAGTTAGGCATGATAGTCTGACATTAGGCAGAAGGCAAGGCAAGGGGGTTTATAGACTAACTTGTTTGAGTTAATCTATAAGGTGCCACCCTGCCCTGCCTTCTTTGTAAATGCTATATACCCTCTCAATGCTTTTGAACTAGGTACTCATCAAAGCAAGGAGCAGTGTGGTCTACAGAGAATAATTATAGGCTATTATATCCACTCTTTCTGCCTCTCCTTCTCCACTTCAAACCCTTTGCTGTGTCCATTTGGATGGTGCAGCCTTTGGGGATAAGCCTGTGATTGTATGCAGCCTGGCACAAGAGGCCTTTGATCCTGGCCAGGGCTTCAAGGGGCTAGTGTAACATAAACACAGAAGATAGGAACAAGTGTAGTGAAGCCTCATTGAGCAGTTCAACACCAAAGATGCACCAACTGACAGTCAGTGGCTAGAACTGCAAATGTGTCGCCAATTATACCACACAGGAAAAGTAGAGAGAGACCTGCTGCCCAGAGCCACTTGTGCCTCCACATGAGGAGCTATTATAAACAAGAGAAACCTCAAGGAGCTATTATGCACAATTTGCTATAATACCTGGGGTGTTGCTCCCTTTTGAGGCAACACTTCTGTAGTCCCTGCTGTCTTCAATAGGCCTATTTGCATGAGAAGTGCTCAACAGGCAGGGTGGGTCACAGCCTGCCCCTTGAAGAGCTAAACATGCCCATAGGAGTGAGTCTAGCTTTCAGAAACAGCTGCATGTGGCTGCTGTGCATAGGGCTGGATCCAGATCATTTCACACCAGCTGAATAGCACTGCTCTAACTTGGTTCCCTTGGCGTTCCTGGATCTGCTTTCACAGAAAGCTCTTGCCTATGTATGTGGAGAAGGAGTTTAGGACCAGACCCCCTCATAAATGGGGCTGTTCTGTTGCACCTCCAAAGTCAACGTTTTACCGATACCTTTCAGCAGTCACATGGTTTGAACAAGAAGTAGGGCTGAAAGGAGCTCTCTCA